TAAGACTCCGACTCAAAAAAAAAAAAAAAAGATACAGATGTGGATATAAAGATAATTTCATGCAATGTCATTCTTAAGTCACTAGGTTTTCTGAGTTTGGAGTTTATAAAATCTATAGAATAGCCGGGCTCGGTGGCTCAGCCTGTAATCCCGCGCCTTTGGGAGACTGAGGTGAGCGGATTGCCTGAGCCTGCGGGTTCGAGACCCGCCTGGACAGCAAGACCTCATCTCTACAATAAATCAAAAAAATCAGGCGGGCGTGGTAGCGCATGCCTATAATTCCGGTTACTCGGAAGGCTGAGGTGGAAGGATCACCGGAGCCCAGCAGGTGGAGGCTGCGGTGGCCGGGAGCGGCCACTGCACTCCAGAGTGGGCGACAGAGTGAGACTCCAACTCAAAAAAAAAAAAAAAATCTATAGAGCCACAGAGCTACAGAACACAAATAAAATTTGACCCCAAAAATACCTTCTCCTTTACCACTGCTGACATTTCTCAAAACCCTAGATCTTTTCTCTTAAAATAATGAAAAATTAGCAGAAGGTTCATCCACAACAGACTCCCAAGATCTTATTGTCAATAAAATAGGTGCCATGACAAAATCAGTCAGCTCCAGGGGAGGAGTCTCTGAGTGGAAACATAATACACAAAGGGATCATCAATGTTATAATGTTTTCCTAATTGGGGAAGAAAATTCAACAGCTATTTCAAGAGCTAAAAGGCTGTGTTTTATTGAACGTCATGCTACCTCTCCGACAGTCAGGCAGTGGAGACATTTTAAGAGCATTACCTTTAGGAGGAAAATATGACTTGCTTTCAGCTTTGTGAGGCCAGTCTACCACGAGAGGTCCAAACCTGCGGAAGCTGGCAGTGATCTCATCTACAAAACAAAGAAGGAATCTCAGCAGAAGAGAAAATAATATTGCAATCAGAATAGCACAAAACATGCTTTTTTATTACAACAGTGTTTTGAGTGCTATTTTCTAAAGCATTTTTATAGAAGTCACATCTACCAAGTGAAATACCATTGTTTGGTATATTTGCTTTTTCACTTTAAACCAGGCAAAGGGCATTTCTAACTATAATTCATTTCCTTTTACTGCCAATAAACTTGACATAGAGAATTTAGAAAAAAAAAATCTGATATTAGCTAAGGTGACCTCTATGTCAAGTAAAAAGAAGATTCTAAAATAGGAGTGTTCTTTGCTTTTTTTTTAAAGGCAAGGCACAGAAAACATTTAAAATATGGTTTCACTTGTATAAAATCTCTAAGGTTATTCTAGAAATACATATGATTCTTTTTTTTTTTTTTTTTTGAATTGTAGTCTCACTCTGTCACCCAGGCTGGAGGGCACTGGCACGCTTCCGGCCACTGCAGCCTCGACCTGCTGGGCTCAGGCGATCCTTCCACCTCAGCCTTCCAAGTCGCTGGAACTACAGGCACATGCCACCATGCCCGGCTAATTTTTTTACAGTTTATTGTAGAGATGAGGTCTCACCAAATTGCCCAGGTGGGTCTCAAATCCATGGGCTCAGGCAATCCTCTCACCTCGGCCTCCCAAAGTGCTGGGATTACAGGCATGAGCCACTGTATCCGGCCCATAAAACTTTATTATAGTAAATCTCAATTAAAATATCTTTAGAGTCTTTTACTCTCTCATCATGAAAAGAAGAAAAATCATCAGTGGCTCAAGCCTGTAATCCCAGCACTTTGGGAAGTGGAGGAGAGGATTGCCTGAGCCCACGGGTTCGAAACCAACCCGGGCAACTTGGTGAGACCGCATCTCTACAATAAATCCAAAACTTAGCCGGGCATGATGGTGTGTGCCTATAGTTCCGGCTACTTGGAAGGCTGAGGCGGAAGGATGGCCTGAGCCCAGCAGCTCGAGGCTGCAGGGTGTGGCCTTGAGTGTGCCACGGCACTCCAGCCTGGGCAATGGAGTGAGACTGTTGGCTCAAAAAAAAAGAAAAGAAAAATGTCATAGCTAGACGAATGCTAGCAAAACTAGTCCATCTTAATAATACAGAACTTGTATAGCAGACCCAAAGCCGATTGGAACTAGAGCTGTTTTGTTCCTTAAATTATTTTGTCACAGCTTCATGTATCCACTCAACAAATATTTATTAGCAACTTTCTACGTGCCAGAACGAATTTTTTTGCTGGCTTTAGGCATGAATGAAAACTCACCATTCGACTGGTAGTATCTTAAAAATATTTTTAAAATTCTAATACATCTTTATCCTCTTAAAGATAAGACAGGGGTTATACTTTTCATTCAGTGGCATTTACAATATAGAGAGAGAAGGTATGGTGTGATGACCACGAGCAAAAGCTCTGGAATCAGAATGACTTTGAGTTGTAACTGTACCATTAGCTACACAGCTCTGGACAAATTATTTCTTTCTGATCCTGTTTCCTTATCTATAAACTGGAGATGGTTTAACATACCTTATAAGATAGCTATGAGGATTAAATGAGATAATGTAATATGATGTGCTTAGCACAATAATAGAATTATAGTAAGAGTTTCCGAAGGATTAGCCCTCATTAATATTTTAAAATTTGCTCTCAAATTAATAACTAGGTAATAGGAAGCTTGGGAGACTGCTATATTGCCACATATGAACACCAGACCCCAGGGATGTAATCTGCTACTTCCTCATCTATCAAAGATTCTCACCTCCTACACACTAAAACACAAACGTCCTAATGCTGACCGGAAGAGGCAAGATTAGACCACATAGAGAACAAAGTCATTAAGGGATGCGTAGTACCTTCATCGATATCTGGAGGAAGGCCTCCAACAAACACCTTTCTAGAATAGCGTTCCACTCGTTCCCCATTTTGACAACGAGTGGGAGAACTTAGGCCAGATGACAAGGCCTGATCACCGTGGCTGTCGTCCAGGAAGGCATCTTCAAATGGAAAGAGAGAAGATCGACCTGAAACAAATGTGGAAGTTTCTATCATTAAAATTTTTTTCTGGACAATAAATGCTTTATGAGGAACTCAAAGTACAGAGTGATGTCTACAAAAGTGCCCTGAGCTGTGGCTTTTCCAATAGAATACGCAACTGAAGATGACCAGATCTAGACAAGTTTCCATCATTTTTGTGTAAGGGTATATACAGCCTTGGGATGACTGGATTGATATCTAAAGAAGGTGCATCAAAACTGCAGCTGTGTTCCCTGCTAAAAAATGACGACATTTTATTCATACAGTCCCTAGCACAGCTGCTAGGAGTATATTCAGCAGTTATTTTTCTTTCTTCAGTCATTTCTTAAAATAAGTGGAAAAAGTCATCTCTATTCACAGATTTTTATCTGTTCTTTATGATTACCTCAAAAGTTCAGTTCTGAAGATTGGTCTTGATAGCCATGGGAATATTAATCAGATGACAGAGGCTGATAACTTCTCTTCTGATTAGCAGAACTAAAGATTTACAAATCTCCCTGCTAGGCCAAGCTAGTCTAATTTGGAAGTAAACAAACATTTGCAATAATAAAGGGCAAGTAAATGAAATCATATAAATGAAGATGTGGAAGTACAAATGCAGGTGGAGTATGACATCTTAACCCCACCAATCTAGGCAATATTTTATCACTCAAATATAGAAGAAAAGAAATGAAAAATAATTCTTCCTCATTGTTAACTAGCTAAATAAAGTTTGCAGCGCAAAGGTACCACTTACTCCCCATGACTACAAGAAAGATACCAGCAGTTTGGGTCTGTTAATATAACACAATGTCATTTGGCATGACAAAACAAAATCTAAATTTAAAATCAAGTATATTTCCTGTTTGAGTCAGTGACTTCCTGGCAAAACTTTCCACTAGGTTCCACTCTAAAAATGAATCGTCTTTAACTTTTGGGGAAAAAAGAAAAACTCTTACACTCTTCAAAATAAAGAACAGTGTCTTCTCCATTTAGTCTATCCTGAAACCTAGGCTCTGTGTCACAACAGCCAAGTCTCTAAAACAGGATATAAATAGCCTTAGAAAAACACAGAACATTTATTTCTTTTACAAAAAAATAGTTACTAATATAACTCTGTTTATTTTATGAACAACCCAGGTGGTGTAAGAACTGTTTTGATGTTGGAAGCTAATAAATAAAAAGACCATAGAATTTTTTGTTCAGTTCTTCTCAGCTTAGCTACAAAGAAACAAAACAAAATTTGTCACCTTTTTTTTGCCTGGAAAAAACAAACAACACACAGTAACTTTTCATCCCTTGATGTTTGTTTTGATCACGGAGGGTAAATGAGTAAGATTTTCAGCAACTATAGGTAAAAAGAGCTTCCCAAGGCGTCCAGAGATGCTCCCCACAGCTGCCATCTCCCACAGCTGCCAGGCTGGCATCTGTGCAGTCTGCATGCGGTCAATGACATGCCCACTCAGTGTCAGGCACACACGCAAATTGGCACTCCCTACAGAAAGTCCCTAACTGTAGCTTTTATGTTCAGCACTGGTAACATTAGATACTCAGAAAACAAAATCCAAGGAAGGAGAAATGAAGCCATTTGGGAAAATACTGCATACTCAATGCCCTTTCCGGAGATTCCCATCCTCATTTGAAAGTAAAAGACTGCAGTGACTCACACCTGTAATTCCAGCATTTTGGGAGGGGAAGGTGAGAGGATTGTCTGAGTCCAAGGGTCTGAGACCAACCTGGGCAACTTGGCAAGACCTCATCTCTACAATAAATCAGAAAATCAACATGGTGGCATGCACCTGCAGTTCCAGCTACTTGGAAGACTGAGGCAAAAAGACCACCTGAGCCCAGCAAGTTGAGGCTGCGGTAGCCATGAGCGTGCCACTGCACTCCAGCCTGGGCAACAGAGTGAGACTCTGACGCAATAAAAACAATAATGAAAAAAAGAAAGAAAGTAAAAGGTTATGAGCAGTTCTGCAGGAAAAAAACATTTACTTACTCCAACATCACCCAGATGTCAACAAATTCTTTAATATACAAAACTCAGTGGAATCATTTTCTTTATCTCTTTTAAAATTTTTATTTTATTTTTTATTTTATTTTATTTCATGGGGGGGGTGGAGTCTCACTCTGTCACCCAGGCTGGAGTACAGTGGCACATTCACAGTCACTGCAGCCTCAACTTGCTGGATTCAGGTGATCTTTCTGCCTCGGCCTTCCGAGTAGCTGGAACTACAGGTGTGTGCCACCAATGCCCAGTTAATTTTTTTGATTTATTGTAGAGACAAGGTCTTGCCATGTTGTCCAGGCTGGTCTCAAACTCCTGGGCAATCCTCTTGCCTCTACCTCCCAAGATGCTGGGATTACAGGTGTGAGTCACCACGCCTGGCCTCTCTCTCTTTTTTTTAATAGTTTAAAAAATAAATAAAGACTGGGAACGGTGGCTCACACCTATAATCCCAGCACTTCGGGGGGGCCGAGGTGAGAGGATTGCCTTTGTTTACTGGTTCCAAACCAGCCCAGGCAACTTAGCGAAATCTCATCTCTACAATAAATCAAACAAAAAATTAGTAAGATAAATAAAATTTAAAAATTAGCCAGGTGTGGTGGGAAATGCCTGTGGTTCCAGTTACTCGGAAAGCTGAGATGGAAGCATCACCTGAGCCCAGGAGGTTAAGGCTGTAGAGGCCATGAGCGTGTCACTGCCCTCCAGTCTGGGTGACAGAGTGAGACTCCTACTCTCAGTGGAAAACACGTGAGGAAATATCCATCCATATTTCAGTTATACCAAACAAGGAAGATACTTCCTTGCCAAAGGAATCATAGACTGGTGGGGAAGAAGAGCAAGTATATAAAGTAAGTAAGTACAATGTAATCCCAGCACTTTGGGAGGCAGAGGCAAGAGGACTGCCTGAGCCCAAGGGTTCGAGACCAGCCTGGGCAACTTGGCAAGACCTTGTCTCTACAATAAATCAAAAAATTAGCCGGGCGTGGTGGCGCATGCCTGTAGTTCCACCTACTAGGAAGGCTGAAGCAGAAGGATCACCTGAGCTCAGCAGGTTGAGGCTGCAGTGGCCGTGAATGAGCCACTGCATTTCAGCTGGGCAACAGATTAAGACTACAACTCAAATTTAGGGGAAAAAAAGTAAGTACTAAGAGAAGATACTCTACTAAGTGACACAAGAGCACAATTTACTGCCCTCCGAGAGATGGGAGGAAAAGACCTTTATAGGCATTTCATAGGAAGGCAATTTTGAGCAGAATCTTGTGGGAGTAGGAGTTTCTGAGGTAAACAGCAAGAATCCACAGAGACACTACTTTCCAAACAGCTCTTGATCTTTCCCTCCAAACCTGCTCCTTCTCTAGCAGCATTCCCTAAAATCTCAAGAAAAACGACTCTTCTTCACACTGGATTCGATCTAGAAATCTAGGACTCATCCTTGATATCTCCCTTTCTCTTATACTCCATCACATCAAATCCATCTCTCACTAAGTCCTGCCAATTCAAGCTTCAAAATAAATCTCCCACTCGATTCTCTCTATCTCCTGTCCTAACACTCTGGTCCAGACACCATCATCTCACCCCTAGATTGACAGTTTGATGAATACATTCAATAATCAATTTGTTTAGCCAGACACGGAGTTCCACGCCTGCAATCCCAGCACTTTGGGAGGTAGAGGCGAGAGGACTGTCTGAGCCCAGGGGTTTGAGATTTGCCTGGATAATAAATTTAAAATAAAAAAATTTAGCTGGGTGTGATGGCATGCACCTGTAGTTTCAGCTACTTGGAAGGCTGAGATGGAAAGACTGCCTAAGCCCAGTAGGTAGAGGCTGCGGTGGCCATGAACGTGCCACTGACTCCAACTCCAACTCAAATTAGAATTAGACTCCAACTCAAAAATAATAGTCTGTCTAGTACTGACTTCTACCTTGTACCCCACAATGTTTTCTCCACAAAACAGCCAAAGTCACCATTTTTAAACATTAACCTAAACTTGTAACCACACTCCTCACCCCCATGCTCAAGAGCTCTCAAAGTCTTCCCATTGCTTTTGGAATAAAGCATAACAATATCACTGAGAACTACAAGGCCTCTGCGTGCCTCTTTTTTTTTTTTTTTTTTTTGAGTCAGAGTCTCACTCTGTCACCCAGACTGGAGTGCAGTGGCCGCTCCTGGCCACTGCAGCCTTGACCTGCTGGGCTCCGGCAATCCTTCCGCTTCAGCCTTCCGAGTAGCTGGAACTATAGGCACGCGCTACCACACCCGGCTGAATTTTAATTTATTGTAGAGATGAGGTCTTGTCAATTTGCCCAGGCGGGTCTCGAACCTGCGGGCTTAGGCAATCCACTCACCTCGACCTCCCAAAGTGCTGGGATTACTGGCTGAGCCACCGAGCCCAGCCCTCCAATACAGTGGTCTCTTTTGCATTTCCTCATTATCCCTCCTTGCTGCAGGCCCTAGGGACAACATGTCCTCCCTACCTAAAACAAACACACTACTCTCAACTCCAACAGTTTCCTAGTTAATTCCTATTAATTCTGCAGGTCTCAACTGGAAAGTCTTTTCCTCAGGTGAAACGTCCCTGAGCCTTGAGATTAGGTTAGGTCCCCTTTTCTATCCAGGCACAGCACCCTGTCCCTTCTTCTACCTGATACTTCCCCAGTTACCATTTTACCTTTTGTGTGGGTTTTTATTGAACATCTCTTTCCCCAACCCCGTTAAAATGTAAGCTCCAAGCCGGGCTCGGTGGCTCAGCCTGTAATCCCGCGCCTTTGGGAGGCTGAGGTGAGTGGATTGCCTGAGCCCGTGGGTTCGAGACCCGCCTGGGC